ATAGGGTGCTGTAGCGCCAAAGGCGGTTTGGTGACTGACTGACAAGTGGCAAGGTGGGGTGCATGCTAGAGTAGCCCTGGAAGTGGAACAGAGAAATGGAGAGAGCAGGGTTAGGCTTGCTTGCTTGCTTGCAAGGGTTTTACTATGTAGCCCTGGTTTTATGTACACTAGGTTGACCTGGAATTTACTGTGACCCACCTGCCTCTGCCTCTTTAGTACTGAGATGAGAGGTGTGTGCCAATATACCAGGCTAATGTCTCTTTTGTAAGAATTCTCTTACAAGAACTCAAGGCACCTGACAGAAATGACATCTATCTTACAGTGCTCTAAGGACCTACTACCCCCACAAAGCCACCATCTCCCATCAGCACCGCCCCCAGGATCCAGGGTTTAATTCCAATGGACTCTGGGGACACAAGTCATATTCAAATCACAGCGCCTGAGCTTCAGTCTTTGGAAGACCAGATAGTTGAATGTCTGTGGTGATGTCATTTGTAAAATATCTGAAACTGGAAACAGTTGATTATCCTGTGATTGTGAAAGGGATGTATCATACACACACACACACACACACACACACACACATGCACGCACACACAAGATGCACATTCACATACACACATACACAACATTGGATACACATACATATGTATACACATACATATACACACACACAAAGATACACACTCACATACACACACATTCACAACTTCAGATACACACACATACATATGCACGCACATACATACTCAGAAACACACACACACTTTTGATACAGGACCTCTCTATATATCCCAGGCTTGCCCAGAACTCAGTGTGGTATAGGCTGTCTTTGAACTCAAGATAATTATCCTATCTGAGCCCCTTGGGCACTAGGGTTACTGGTCTGCATCACCACACCCAGCCTTGATTTTTTAAAAATAGGTTTATTGCATGTAACTTGTTGATTTCGTATGCACATATGTGGGTGAGCACAGCTCTGGAGTCAGAGGACCATGTACGGGAGCTGGTGCTAGCCTCCCACTGCATGGGGCGAAGGGATAGAATTTAGGCAGTCGGGACTGACGGCAGCTGTCTTTACTCACTGAGCCATCTTGCCAGCCCTGGTTGGTTTTTTCATTTGTTTGACTATTTGTTTTGTTGTGTTTTAGATAGTATCTCATGATGCAGCCCAAGTGGCCTCAAACTCACAAGGACTCTTCTGCCTCAGCCTCCCCAGCTCTGGGAAGACAGAAATGCATTGCCATGCCCAATTAGGACACATTATTTGAACAATGTAATTACACCAGGAATACAAACTGGACATTTGGAAGTATTCTTAATAGCTGAATATTTGTTTTTTAAACGTAGAAAAGTGTAGAAATCTCCATTCGTGCTTCATATGAGGCAATTATTCCCATTGGCTGGTGGACACACTAATGTTTATGATGCCGGGGTAAACTGACTCAGTAATTAATGATATTGAAAGCTGCTATTTTTCGTATGAAATCATTGCTACCTTTCTGCTATGTAAACAAACGGGAGAATGGATTGACAATTCATGTGAACATTAAACACATGCATTAGCCAGATAACTTTAGGAGGGATATTTCGCTCTTTCAAAAACAACAAACGTTTATATAAATTTAAATAAGATGACTAGGGGGGATAATTGAGAGTCAGTTCCTTTTTATATTTTTTGTCTTTGCAGAATTGCTGGCAGAATAGTATTTTTACATTAAACAAAAGAATTGAATTCCATTTAGATTGCTAATCACTCAAGAAAATGTCTATTTGAGAATTATTCACATTTTGCGGTATCTACTAAAATGAAAATATCTGCCTTGCCACCCAAAATTTTTACAAGGAAGAGAAATTCTGATTATTAAAATAGAATAGGATCTATGGGAAGTTAAATCCCCGTCAGCCAATGATGAAGACTGTAAGAAAAAAACCCCAGTTTCATTTCTGTGGATGTGAGGAAACACACTGATAAGAAACAGCTTAGAGGAGAGGCTTAATTTCGCTCAGGCTTCCAGGCCCTTCCATCGCTGTGCGGAGGTGAGGCAGGAGCTCGCTGGCCACAGCCTCCCTCCAGGGCAGAGAGAATGTGTCTCCACCGCTCTGCAGCCCAGGGCCCCAGACAGGGAATGGTGCTGCCGCCATTCGGGCCCCCTTATCCAGCAACAGAAGAGAAGGGAAGGCTGACACACAGGGATCCAGTCTGAGATGCTAGTCCGACAGCGACAGCTGGAGACGCCAGTCGCTTCACCGTCTCTGTTTTAGTAATGGCTGGAACAACAGAATGAGAGTTGCTGAGGACACAGAAGATGTCACCCCTTACACTAACTAACCCTGTCTGTCTGACTAATGTGGAAAACTTCACCCAGCAACTCAAAATAGACATTTTTCTCAGGTACTCAGGGAACCTCATGAAAGAGCATGTGTTAGGCCACAGAAGTGTATTTTCCAACCAACAGAGAGCAAAACTGCAAACAACACCAGAAAGAAAGCCAGAAAACTCACAAGTGCTTGGAGAGTAAGCAAAGGGACAGAGAAGAAATGACTTGTGGATACAGAACATTTGAGGTGAATTAAAGAAAGCAATGATGTCAGAACACAGAGGATGTAAGAACATGTGCCAGAGACACTCACAGCCACCATAGCCCTGCTTTCAGAACCAGCCTGGGAACGCCTCAAGAGCAGGGTGTAACATCTGTTTGGCTCTGGTGCCAATGCCACAGATGCTGGCGTCAGAGCGGGGAGGGGCGTAACAATATGAAGGAACAAGGGAAAATGGGGAGCAACGGCCTCAGAGATGGGAAGTGATGTGGGATTCCCCTCTACATGCTATGAATATGTTTTATTGCCATTGGTTAATAAAGAAGCTGCTTTCAGCCAATGGCTTAACAGAATATAGCCAGGCTGGAAAAGATACACGGAGAGTAGGCAGAGTCATTGAGAAACCATGGAGCTGCTTCAGGAGACAGACGCCAGACACTGCATGGAACCTTGCAGGTAGGCCACAACCATATTATGGGTAGGCAATACACTGTAGGAGGAGGGCCTGCTTGTTCACCCCGGCTGCCCAGAACCAAAATAACCACGCAAAAAACTGTATTCATTAAAATACTGCTTGGCCCCTTAGCTCTAGCTTCTTATTGGCTAAGTCCTACATCTTAATTTAACCCATTTCTATTAATCTGTATATCACCATGAGGTCGTAGCCTATCAGCAAAGTTTCAGCATGTCTACCTCTGGCCGCGGATCCATGGCGTCTCTCTGACTCTGCCCTTCTTTCTCCCAGCATTCAGTCCAGTCCTCCCCTCCTACCTAAGTTCTGCCCTATCAACAGGCCAAGGCAGTTTCTTTATTCATTAATCAATAAAAGCAACACATAGACAGAAGAACCTTCCACACCAATACACAGATTAATAGAAATGGATTAATTTAAGATATAAGAGCTAGCCAATAAGAAGTGGGCTAATAGGCCAAGCAGTGTTGTAATAATACAGTTTCTGTGTGGTTTTTAGCATCTGTGTGGCCAGGAAATGAACAAGCAGTCTCTGCTTACAGGGAAGAAGCGAGAATTGCTTTTCCTCCTCTTCTTTTAAAATTATTTTTGTAAAAATCACCTTTCTCTCTCTGTAGATCATACTGGCCTTGAATTTACAGAGATCCACCTGCCTCTGTCCCCCAAATTTTGGGATTAAAGACATGCACCACAACTGCCCATCTTTTTTTTTAAGTTTATTTATTTATGTATTTTTTGTCTATGTAGACATCTGCACTTCAGAAGAGGGCATCAGATTCCATGATAAACAGTTGTGGGCCACTATATAAATGCTGGGAATTGCTGTTCTTATAACAATCCATTCCCAAGTGAATTGATGATGGGATAATAATATATTGGTATTCATGAGTTATTGTTTTTAGAAAATTATATTGGCATTGATTCTTGTATATTGATATATTAAATATTGTATGTGAATATGCTTCTACCTCTGTTTAAAACATTTGTTATGTATTGATATATATATATATAGTATTGATATATATACATATAGTTACCATAATGCAATGTACATTTCTACCTCTGATTAAGATACTTATATATTAATTATGCAATGATATATATTATTTACATTTGAAGGTCATTGTCCTCATTTATTGCACAGTTGTTTATTCTCTTAGTCTTCAAGTTAGAAAGATATCAAAAATTATAAATCAATAGTCATATATGTTTGTCATACTTATATTTAGGCTAATCAGGCTCTTTAAATACATAGAGATTATATTTAATATAGATAGTATAATCTTCAACCTCTTTGAAGAGCTATGAAAAATGACCTTTAATCTAACCTAGAGTTCCATGCTAACGAGACACAATCACTCCTGGCAACACCGCTCTACTTCCGAGAGAACGTTAAGCACCAAAGACACTCCACTTGGAGCTTGTCTTCTTCTTGGCAGAACTGGCCTTTGGGCAAAGAAAAGCCCATACCTCGACCACTGACAGAGTTACAGAATATCCGAAAATGGATAAAAACAGGATTGTCTTATCCTGCCAAGACAGGGTAAGATAGCTCTAAATGCCTTGCCTTTGAAAATGGCATGTAAGTTAGGCTTTAGCCAAAGTTGGTTGTCTCAACATTGCAAATGAGATTTTGGGTGATTGCTCAGGTAGTCAGTTGTCTCTGTCATTTGTTGCACATTTCGGAAGTTTCTCATTTGTACTTCCTGGTTGCTTAAGTAAAATTACTCCCCTTTTCAGATCTTTGATGGAGTTGAAGATTAGGTAGTTGTAGTTACCCTCTACATTATTTAGACTCTTTAGTAAAACTTTTGTTTTGTGTTTCTTGCTTAATATTGTTTGTTGTTTGTAATTTTATGTTTGGTATCTGTTCCTACTATGTATAGTTGTATTGGGTTTAGTTCAATCTTGTTTAGACAAAGGGGGAGATGATGGGGAACTTCAGCCAATCACATTCTGCTTAGGGTGTGTCCCCCTGGGGCCACACGAAACAAATAAAAGATCTAGGTGTGCTTGTGCTTCCTCTTTTGCCCCCTGCGTTTCTGGATTGCTGGAACCCTGGTTTTGTAAGTTTTCCTTTCTTCTGTTTATTAAAGCTAAATCTTTTATATTAAGCTAGTCTGGTTAATTTTTAACTACCGATCGACCACGCCCTTCACTCAAGGAAATTAAGCAGGGTCCCATGAGACCATCATTTATCTATTCTAAGAACAGTGTCTTTAGGGACCTAACCTCTTCTACTAACCACTTCAACACCTTGCCACCAACCCTCTAGGGAGACAAACTCAAACAACATCCTACCGTAGCATCTAGAGCAGAGCAATCAAGGCAAACAGAAGGCACACAAGCTTTTGCCTTGGAACTAGGCTGGGAGAAATGACCTAAGGAACCGAGATGAAGGTCTTTTACTGGGTGGCGAAGTATTCTATAGTGACTGATGTTAGCAGATGTCTGACAATATACTAAAAGCCATTGACTCGAATACTCTTACTGGGCAGATGGTACATGAAAGCTTTTTGCTGGGATGATGAGGACATTCCAAAACCATTGTGGTTACGTGCTCAGAGCCCTGAGGACACTGAAAGTCACCAAACAGCAAACTCTAAGTGGGAGGCAATATGGTATGTGATTTATATCTTAATAATGCTGTTTTAAAAAGTCATGGGAGTTTATAAGTGAATTAAGCAAGGCTGCAGAATATAAGATCAATACAAAAATCAATTGTATTTTTATAAGTAGAAATAAACAACTGAAAATTGAGGTTTTTAAAAATGTACCACTTAAAATAGCAAGCAATAATGAAAAGAAACAAAACACCAGGAAAAAAAACCCCACCCTGAAATGTTATGGAGAACTCTAACAAAGTGTGTTCAAGATCTGCTGCTGAGCTCTTTCAACGAGACAAAGACCTGCAGAAATGTAAGATGTTCGGGGTAAAAAGATCGCAGATAGTAAAGATTCCGGCCACCTCAGTTTAATGAATAGATGAATATAATGGATCTCTCTCAGTTCTGTCTGTTTTGTTTATGTCTCTTAAGGCTTTGTTGTCAGTCCATGCATGTTTATAACTTTGTCTTCATCTTTACACAGTCACATGGAGGAAAGAATTCAGATGTAAGCCCTGTGAAGTGGTGTGGAGAGGCACAATTCAATGATATTCCATTCTTGGATAGGACTTTCCACACTTCATCTATCCACTCGTCTTGAAGGACATTTTGATTGCTTCCAGTTTGGAGCAACTGAGAATAAAGCTATTGTAAACATTTCTGTAGAAGTTATTTTTCCTCCTGTGGATGTGTTTTCAAGTCATTTGGATATAAATACTTAGGGGCGTGATTGCTGGCTTGTATGGCAAGATTGTTTATCTGTTTTCCAAAATGACTCTCTAATTTGCATGCTCACGTGAATAAGAGTTCCTGCCGCAGCAGGGCAGTGTTGGCACGTGCCTTTAATCCCAGCACTCGAAGGTGGAGGCAGGCAGATCTCTGTGAGTTCAAGGCCAGCTCTGATCTACAGAGCAAGCGAATTTCAGAACAGCCAGGACTACACAGAGAAACTCTGTCTTGAAAATAAAAAAAGAAAGAAAGAAAGAAAGAAAGAAAGAAAGAGAGAAAAGAAAAGAAAAAAGAAAAGAAAGGAAAAAGTTCCTGCTGCCTTGAGTCCTCACTAGCGTTTGGTGCAGTCAGGCTTCGGGACCAATGCATTCTAACATGTCCTGGTGTCCCAGCTACTTTTGAATTGCTGTGACAAAACACCATGACCAAGGATTTAATTTGGGGCTCACAGTTCCAGCGGATTAGAGTTCATGACCATGGCAAGGAGCATGGCAGCAGGTAGGTGCAGTAGCTGAGAGCTCACATCTGATCAACAAGTACAAGGCAGAGAGAGAGAGAGAGAGAGAGAGAGAGAGAGAGAGAGAGAGAGAGAAAGAAATGGCATGGGCCCATCCCCACACCTCCTCCAACAAAGTCACACCTCCTAATCCTTCACAGGCAGTTCCACCCACTGTGGTCCAAGCTTTCAATATATGAGTACATGGAGGCCGTTCTCATTCAAGCAGCCACACCTGGACTCTTTCATTGCTGCTCCACCTGAATTCCTTTAGTGATGCTGAGTGTTGACGTCAGGCTGTTCCCTGCCAAGAGAGACTCTGTTCAACTTCATTTTGAGGATAAAGGATGGTTGTGCACCTAGGTGGGCATATCAAGGGCGCAACTGGTCTGGCACCACCTTGTGGCACAGACCAATAACTAGCTTATCCCTAAAATCAGAAAGGAATGGTATAAATCTGTCGAGTACATCAGAGGTAGTGGGCGCATTAAAATTTTATCAGGAAAAAGAAGTCTGAGAATTTATGAGACACCCCAGACTAAGGTAAGAGTGTACCCCATAAAGAGGTGAGCACTCACCACTGCAGTGGGACAGCCCCCCAGATCCATCATCTGACTAACTAATATTTTGTTCTAAACAGAAACTATGGAGACACTCCTGGTCCCCTCAGAAGCAGGCATGCCAGCACACCGTGGTGTGTTTCTATGGTGGAGTGCCATTGGCTGCTACGACATTCTTGCTTCTGACCACTATTTGACACCCGTGAATAAACCAGAAATGCTGGGTGGTGTAGGGTAAAAGGGCCAGCCAAAGAAACGCACCCTGGCTCTGAAACCAAAGACAGTGAAAGAAATACTTCCTGGGTCTGAGACCTGAGCCAGTGAAAGAGATGCTTTAGCCCCAAACCCAGAACCAAAGAATGTACCCTGACTCTGAAACCAGTGCCAAAGAAACACACTTTGTCCCTAGAATCAGAGTCAGTGAAAAGAAATATGCTTTGGCCCCAACCCTAGAGACAAAAAGTTTTAAAAGGCCAATGAAAGAAACAGTTTGACTCTGAAATCAGCCATCTCTGCCCCTGACCAACTAAATCCGTGAGCAGGGAAAACTAACCAATCCCCCTTCTCCCTGGGAAAACTCCGCCCCTAAGAAGCCCTACATAAGCCCTTCAGCTTGGGGCTGCTCTTCTTCCACCCTGGTAGAGGCAGCCACTCTCCTGGACTCTTCTCCCCAATAAAGCTCTTGAATCAGGTTTGGGGGAAGACCTTCTTTCACTGGAGCAGAGACTGAGCCGGGTAGGGTCTAACACTCTTGCTGGGGAAACCTTCCCCTAGCACTGCAGAGTTGCTACACTCAGGCGGGGCACAGGCACGAGCTGTCACTTTGGGGGAACCTTCTCTAGAGCAGGGCTGCGAGCTGCTACACTTTCTGTGGTCTGCGCTATTTCCTGGCTCCCGACTGCCAGGATCCCTTTCCTTCCACTTGCAGATGGAACTCAAAAATATTTCACTGGGGCTGGAGAGACACCTCCATGGTTAGAAGCCCTGGCTGCTCTTCCAGAGGTCAGAACACTGCATGCACACAGGCAAAGTCCATACACATAAAATACAGCAAACATTTTGCTGAGGGAAAGGAAACAAGATACCAAAAAGTGCACATTTATACAAAATTCTCGAATAGATAAAAGCAACCTTGGGTTGACAAGAGTGGCTAAGGTGTCACAGAACATTCTGGAGTGATGAGAGGCTTTCTGTCCCATCATTTCCACATCAGTCACTGTCTTGGTTGTGTTGCTATCACATGGATAAATAAAGATTTCAGAACTTCAGTCCTACAGTTATGAACCTGTGTGTAGTTATGTTTCAATAAAATTGATACTTAAAAAAGGGGTAGAGAAATGCCTCAGTGGTTAAGGCTGATTCCTGTTCCTTCAGAGGACCAGAGTTTAGTTCCCAGGGTACCTGTAAGTGCAGCTCAGGGGACTCCAGATCATCTGGACTCCTTGGGGACCCGCACTCATGTGGACATACCCCCACCCCACAGAAACACACACATGTGTAATTAAAAATTAAGTACAGATTTTTTAAAAAGTTGGTTGGGGGCTAGGAAACTGGTTCAGTTGGCAAAATATTTATCCTACAAGAATGAGGGCTCCAATTTGACCCTAGAACCCATGTACAAGTGCCATGCATGGCTTGTAATTTCAACCTTGGGGACACACAGATAGAAGGGTCCCTGATTCTCACTGGTTGGCCGGTGAGGCAGATGGTTCCTGAGGAAGCCATGACAATGACCTTTGGCCTCCAAGATGAATGCACACATATCCGTGCTAGAGTTGTCTTGCACACTCACAGAGACACACATACACTTGTGCGCGCGCACACACACACACACACACACGTATACTATTCAAATTTGGCCCCATTATTCATTGTGTATACAGTGTTCTGTCTGCCTGTATACATGCAGGCCAGAAGAGGGCACCAGATCTTAGTGTAGATGGTTGTGAGCTACCAGGTGGTTGCTGGGATTTGAACTCAGGTCCTCTGGAAGAGCAGCCAGTGCTCTTAACCTTTGAGTCATTGCTCCAGTCAGGCCTCCTATTCTTTATATATCGTTATCATCTGTGAACTATCAAAGCAGCTGCCAAAGTGCGCATTTTAGGTTTTACTTCTTTCTGTACTTCCAGTCTTCCCATCAGGCGTTTGGACTTTTAATTTAGAAATAGTTTCCTGGCAATTACGCATTTATCAGGCAAAGCTTTTCCAACCTTCCCTACATTCCACATGCGTGAGCAGAAAGGAATCTGACTGGAAATGCACGTTCACAGCCGTCAGTCCAAGGCTTGATAAGGTCAGCGCCCCTGGGGAGAGGTCCCCATTTCCTTTGCATTTTGAAAGCTATTTTGTCTGCTTTCTCGGTTGTTTCATTTTAGAAATTCATTTTCCAGTCATCCATGCCCACTCTACCTATTTAGTTATGTTTTCACAAACTCCACAGATACTTCTTTCTACTCTCTCACAGGGAAGAGAGAATTGACTGTTCCCAGCCTTGCCAAACAAACAGAGCAGGCAGGAAAGACAGAAAAGAGATTAGGTCATTCAGTCAAAACAGCAAAACCCCAGAGTCAGAGAGAAGACCATGCAAATAATAATAATAAAAAATCACAGTACAAATGCACACAGAATGACCTCATAACATTTCCAGGTTCTGTCACCACGTCACAATGGGACCCTAGAAATTCAGGTTCAGTCTTTCTTTTGTTGTTTTTGAGACCGGTGTTAGGTAATCCAGGCTAGCCCCCAAATCACTATGTAACTGAGGAAAACCTTGCATTTTAGCCTCCACCTCCTGAGCTCTGAGACTGTAGGTGTGTACTATCCTTCTGGGCAAATTAAACTGCTTTAACCTCATTTTCAGGCCTGAGAATAGACACCTACCTCATTGGTTAGCATGGGGGTTAAATGAGGTTGTGAGGAAAGAATTTGAGTCCAGTAACATGTGTGAGTATCAAAGGCTTAAGAAATATGTTAGATTATGTTTTTGTTAGTATTCAATTTTAAAATTTTACTATTATTAATTATACTATCTTATTCTTACCTCCATGGTATACAATTATTACACAGAACAAAAAAAATCAGTAACTTTAAAAAATATTGACTTTTATGTGTTGTGTGGTGTGTGTATGCACACACAGGTGCTCAGGTGCCCACAGAGGCCAGGAGAGGCCGTCAGATCTCCTAGACTAGAATGATTGACATAGTTGGGAGCAATTGTGTGGGTGCTGGGATTTGAACTTGAGTCCTCACTCAAGCAGCAACTGCTCTTAACTGGGGAGTCATTCTTCCAGGCCCTGGGATGTTTTGCTTTGTTTTTGTCTGATTTTTATCTTTTCCCTCAGTCTGTGTTGAGGAAATGCTGGCTGGCTGGTGGTTTGGGGGAGGGGTGGGGAGTGGGGGGCGGGGGGGTGTGGGGTGTGGGGAGTGGTGTTGTATGAAAGAGAACGAGTGGTGGATGAGGAGATTCAGAACTTAACTTCAATGTGCTTGTTGGGTAAAGACTCTTGCTTGATAGGCCTCAACTCATGATCCTCCTGCCTCAGCCTCTTTACTGCCGGGATTATAGGCCTATGCCACAATGCCTAGCTCATTTTTAGTTCTTGGTGTCTGGGCTCTGATTTCCTCCATTTGGCCACTGAGTAAATATACCAGTTCCTCGGTGTCTTGTGAGTAAGCCTAGGTTGTGCTCATTGACCGGTGGAAGCTGATGCCAGGGCAGGCAGTGGGGGAGGGTGGTGGGTTGGCTATGTAGTCCCAGGGCTCATGTGTACACATGGTTAAAGAGAAGGCTGCTTGTGACTCCGAAGACAATTGGGCATCGTCAGGGCTGGCATGTGCCATCCACCCCTTGATTGAGCAACGGTCTCCAGCACCT